GATAGCTAGTAAGCTTTAGCTTTGTGTCCTCAAAGGTTTGAGCAGTTTTGAGATGTTGATATGCTTAAACATGATGCTAAAAATGTATCAGCCTGGCTATGGGATTTTTTTTGTCCTCAATCAAGGTGTCTAAGAAGAACATGGGGAAATTGGTTGGTGTCATGATTGTTGCTCAGCAGCTGAAGCAGAGCAGTGAAGCTTTACTCCATGCTCATGAGGGGGATGTTAAGCCTTGCTGCCTTCTACTCCATGGAAACAGCCTTCAATCACTCAGAAGGCTGAAGCACTGGTGGTGGGAGAGGGAAGATGTGCATGCCATGGAAACCTCTCTGCTTCACTGAGGAAGGGCAGTGGTGTTTCTTTGGATTTTACTCCCAGATGTGTGCATTGGGTCATCCCATAGTAGCACCTAAAGATTTTATTCCAGTTTTGGGAGAGGAATCGGTCCCTGAAGACACTCACTTGTGTCTTTGTTGACTTTTTAATCTTTTTTTCCTTTTGATGCAAAGTGACATATAAATGCCATCTAGGCATCTCGGGCTGAGCTATGCCACACTTAGAAGTCTAGTATTGGACATATTTTTGGGGAAACATCCCCCCCCCATTAAAAGTAGTGTAATTTAGTGTATGCCCATAGCACATGTTGGTTTTGTTTGCTGTAACTAACGAGAATTCTGCTCCTTCTTTTTTTTTTAGGAACTGTAGTCCTCAAAAAGACATTTTCATGTCTACCATACATAGATGCTGCAGCTTTGCTGTTGTGAAAGCAGGAAGGACAGCACCCTTTGTTTCCTGCTACCTCTTATCAGCCTGGGGAGCTTATGCCACCACTCGCTTCAGCTTTGCTCAGAGAGTGTGGCAACGCTTTCCTTCTGGGCTGGTAGCACTCATGGTGTACCATCAGTGCAGTTTAAGATGTAAAAGTGTGAAGTGAGGCCCATGACAGCCTGAAGGATTGCGTGGGGCTCTATCAGCTAGACCCTATCTGAGTGCAAACAAAAAAATGTTGTTGAGAGACAACTTTCATGCACGGCTTTGTTGAGTATCAACTTTGCTTCATAGCACATTGTCACATGCCAGTGCTGACACTTGTGGCATAACTTGCTGGCACAGTATGGCATGCTTGTCATGCTGCTATCTCTTCCTGCATTTTTTTTCCCAGTAAATTCCTGATGATCCAAAATGGAGTCAAGTTTTGCCCTTGCTGTATAGGTGAGATGAGCTGTGTTGCATAGCATGTACTACCAGTATAGCACCGACATAACAATTAAAACCAAACTAGGGTGAGAAAAAACAGTCTTTACATGTACCCATATTTCTGTGCTAGGAAGTTTTTTTCTGCTGCTGGACTTCTAGCATACGAGTTCTCTGAATAACAAGATCTGTTACTGAGGGTAGAGGTTTGCTGCAGACTTAGCAGTTAACAGTTACCTTGGGCCTGGTGAGATGAAAATATGCTTTTTTTTTTTTGTTCACTTTTCTCAGCCATTTTCTGTGTTAGATATTTGCCTAATGCCATGCCAACATAGCTAGGAAGGGAATCTGTCCTAGTATCAGATGCAGTCTAGGCAGGGATTGTAGTCACTGTAATGTCAAACCGAGTCACAAAGCTCTCTAAAGGGTTGTGGCATGTGTAGCTAAAGAAAGACAAAAGAAACGTCACTCACCAGGACTTTGAGCCATAACAGTGAATAGCAATGAAGTGACTGCAGGAACTTCAAAGCAAGAAAAAAATCTCTGTAGACTACCTTTTCCCTGCAGACTGGGAAGTGGCAGATGGATAACCACAAATACCCACAGCACCTTGAGATATGGCTTGGGAGAAAGCTTGCAAGGCACTTGATAAAAACCAAAACCAAAACCAACCAACCAACCAAAAACCAACCATAAAGCCCTTTGTGGTACCTGCAAGCTGTGGATCTCCCTGGTCTACCCCAGGCCTCTGGAAGGCACTGGAGCACCTGGAGCCAAGCGGCTCCCAGTCAGGAGCTGGTGCAGGTGGGCGTGGTGGAGCTGGGCTGTGCAGCCTCACTGGTGTTTTGGGCTATCCTCATGTCAGGAGTCCCTGCATTACACCATGAGCTGCTTTTTGCAGCTTCCTCAGGGGTCACAAAGTGGACAGTATTTCCTAAGGTGTGTGGGAGGGTTTTGTCATGGTTTATGCTGCCATATGTGGCATCAGTTTGCCAGCACTAACCAGGCAGCAAGGAAAGCCAGCACACACCTACAGACCTGCTCCAAGGTAGCAGAGACCCTGGGTGTGAACAGGATTAATTAGCTCTCATTAGGTGCCAGCTCAGTGAGTGCTGCATGAAGGTGATTAGCTCAAACACAGTGGAGCAAAGGAGCAGATTACATTGACATTTAGGCCTGAGTGTGGCATTTGCAGGGACTCTTGCAATGATTTGGCAAAAGAAAATTATCAAGGCAAAAGCCCAGTGTGGGAAGTGATGTGAGACACACAATTAGCACATGCCAGGACTGGATCTGCTGTTGTCCACAGGTTTCTGTGGCCTTGGGCAAAGGGTGTCTGGCACACAAGGTCACAGCAGTTTTTGGTCTCTTAGGCTGGCTCTGCTCTAGATGTACACCAGTGACCATGGCAAGTTGCTCATGACCGTGCCCAGAAGAGCTAGTGGTACCAAGGTGTGCTGTGGATGTTCTCTTTCACAGCAGGTGCTGGGCTTTCCCACCAACAGGGCAGCTGAGGAAGGCCGTGACTCAGTGCCTAAACCATGGCCTGGGTGTTTGGTGGCTTGGTGAGTTCGGGGGCCTGCTAGCTCAACATGTTGGTCTTGAGGCTCCATTTCTTTGACTGTACCTCTGCAGTGAGCAAGCAGCCCTCCCTGCACACCCCTCCACCCCCTCTTAACTTGGGGTATTTTCTAATTTGTGAGGGAGCTGAAATGTGGGCAATGGATTGTCTCAGATGGGGCTGTTGGGGTGTTCCCAAGCTGAACATGTATTAATGACCAGTCGCCCAGTGCTGTGGGACTCTGAGCAGGGAAGGAGTAAGTGACTCTGACCTGACTGGCAGCCCCAGATAAACCCAGTTTGGTGCTTGCTACTGGCACTAGTGCCCTCTATTTCCCTACAACATGGAGGGGCTGCCCTCAGGCACAGCTTTAGATGGCAGAGCCACGGTAAGAGGCTCTTTATTTCAATATTTCAGCTTTTCCAAACACAAAAGGACACGCTTGAAATTCATTCCTTCATGCTGATGCTGGGAGTCTTCCATGACCTTGAAATTTGGCTCTCTCCTTAGCGCTCCCCGCTTGCTCTGTGCCGGTACAGAGCCGCTCACTGAGCCCTGTCACACGTGGGCACCAGCATGTGTCGTGGGGCTGGTGGTGTCCAGGTCAGCTTTTGCTTCACAGGACCCACCTCGGCCAGCCCAGGCACTCCCCAGCTCCTGCAGCCACTGCAGCTTCACGGCATGGAGCTGTTGGCCAACAAGGCTGTTTCCCCTTCCATAATGAGCTGGTCTGACCCATCCCCCTTCTCCAGGGTCTTGGGCATTTGCTTATTCATTTCAGTTTTCACCTCTCACAGGAGCTATAGCCACGGCCTGAGCAGCACACCCTTCCTGGGTGCCTCAGGCAGGGCAATGCCTGCTTTGGTAACAGCACCTGTCTGGCCACCACGACCTGCTGCTCCCCCCTGCAGCTCTGGGTGTGGGAAGAACCTGGGTGTGGGCAGTGAAAGGGCAGCTGCCCCCATCGCCCCGCTTCAGTACCATCCATGGGAGCAAGGGGATGTGGTGACCACTGCTGAGCCTCAAACTAAAAGGGGAGAAAGTGCCAGCCAGGGAGAGACTCAGAAAGCCCCACTAATGCCTAGCTAAGCCACTCAGCCCATCACCCTCGTCCTTGCCCCTCCCTGGCTGTGAATGCTGCCTCTGAAGACTTCTCCAGAGCCTGCAGCCCCACTGCTCGCAAGGCACATACCCATACCCAGCTGGCTGCAGTGTCTCAGGGGTTCCCATCCCATAATAGGCTTGGCAGCGGTAAGGCCAAGTGGATTAGAGGGTTTTGTAGGCTTGGCTTTGAACATGTGTAAAATGAGCTGTGTGTGGGGCCTGAACACTTCAGGAGAGCCCAGCTGCTAGAAGGACATGGCAGTGCCTCCTCACCCTGGCACGGCTGGACATGCACAACCACCTGCACACCCCCGTACCTGCTCCCTCCCCTGCACACCTCACCTACTCCCACCCCACGTCCCTATTCCTGCCACTGGACTCCCTGCCAGCCTCTCACAGAGTACACACCTTGTTTCCACCTGACAGCAAGGATTTCGGTAGCAGTTCTTGCTCTGGTTTGTATTTTAAAGCAAGCAGCCAGCCCTCCTTCCCTTTATCTTCTAACTCACCCCTAATAAACATGATCACTTCATCCTGTGAGACCTGAAAACCCATTTCCAAAATTCCCCTGGCAACTAATACAATAAAACCAGCCTATAAATATAAATAATTATGATAAAAAGGCATAAAATGCCAGACTTGGGTCAAACATACTCACACAGTGACACTAGCAACAAATAACTACACAGTGTTTGAATGTAGATGGAGAAAGCTGAATACAGAGTAGCTAGTTTGTTGCCCATAACTGTCAAGACTACTAATTTGGACAGGCCATATTTTATTGATAGCAGAGCAAACACAGTCATAATCCATCCCTACCTTTCCTGCTTTGTGAAAAATCCCATCCATCCCCAGGGAAGCAGGGATGGAAAAACCAGTGGTGTGAACGTGAGGTGAAAGTATAAAACAGAAAGCACAGTCCCAGGCTGCATTTCCCACTTGTTTCTCGCACATCATATGCTAAGTTCAATTTTCCAAAAGCTTTGTTTTATTTTTTAAAGGTAGCATCTTTATTATTGTTATTATTATATTTATTAGTTGTTATTATCATTATTATGCAGAGATGAGATTTTTTTTTCCCCCTTTGATCACAGAGCAAACAGTTTGCTTTTGAAAATGTTAATGGAGTCCTGATTTAAAACATTTTTTTTTCTTCACTTTTTTTGTTGGTTTTGTTTTTTAAAACGTTGCAACAGGCAGGATCTGGGATTCCATTTCCTCGTCCTACAGAAAGAGAGATTCTGGAGTTCAGACTCCTAGCCACTACCGGTAGGTCCTGCCTTGCTCAGCTGTCGTCGTCTCAGTGTGGTTTCGCCAGGTGGGGTGGGTAGGTGGGTGGGAGGGGAGGAGCTGGAAGAAGGGAGGGTATTTGTCAGCTATGTCGAGTCTTGGTTAACGACTTTGCCTCCATTCATGGTTGGTGTCCCTGAACTTTTTCTTGAGCGTCCTTGTTTTTCTCCAATTTCATGCAGCGATGGCTCTCTGTACATGCACACTGCAAAGAGAAAAGACACCCATTAACAGCCCTGAAGTCACAGACATTAGTGACCATAATTATTTATTTTACATATGAGACTGAAATTACATCCCCAATACAAATATACCCACTTACAGAAACCTCACTGACCCATCAGTAGAACCTCTTAGGAAGCAGGGTCTGCTACCTGCCTTGCTGCCAGTCAGCTCCTCCTTCTGTCTCTGGATTCTTCCAAAGGTACATAAAGAAATGGGATTTCCCATAGATAAGTTTTTCTGTTTCCTGTGCATTACTGTTTTTTCTGTGTTATATACATAAAATAAAGACTCCAGTTCACAGAACTGTGTATTGGCTTGAGTTGCTGACTCTCATCTAACAACGGCTCCAAGAATTACCCTGGCCCCAGACTTTACCCTTCAACCAGAAGCCCCTGAGAGCCTTGAATCAAAACTACACTTGCTTGTGAACCATCCAAGCCTTCTGGATGTTAAGCTCTGTATCTGGAAATGGTGACTCAAGCCCCTTTGGCTCCTTTGGCCAAGAGCTGAGGTCTGCTCTCAGTGTTTCTTGTTTTGTCCCCTGTATATCAAGCCAGCCGGCCAAGGCTGAGGGCTTGAGCAGACACGTGGGGATGAACTTGGTGACAGCAAATCAGGAGCCATCCCAGTTCTGTGTGGTCACCTGGCAGCACCTGAGAACAGGGTGGATGGAAGGCAGCTTCTCTCCAGCCCCTGGCTATGCAATGTGCATCCTGTGAAAATATATTTGCTGGAGCCTAGGCAGCCTGAGAAGGCAACGTCTGGCCAAGGTATGGCACACCTCCAGTAACTATATGTATAAAGCATCCAACTCACCATGTGGACCAAGTCCTCATGGCTGTCCTCATGCCATGTGAGGTGTGCCAGATCAGGAGCATATGCTGAGCAGCCCAGCATCTCACACCAAAGGGAGGATCTCTGATGATGAGGTCATTGCAAATGTGGTGGGGTGCAGATGTGAGTGGAAAAAAAAAGCGAGGCATCTCAAGGGCAGGTACACCAGAGCTGAGAATTTAAGGTAGGTCCAGACTGCAAATATCATGCCCAAAATCTTTGCAAAAATGAGGATAAAAAGACCTAGTTGTGTACTGCTTCCTTTTTTAAAGCTGTCACATCACAAGCAATGGCACAGAACTCCAACACAGGGGATAGAGCCCATCAGGTTTTGGTTCCAGGTAATCAAAAAGAACAAAATTTCAAAAATCAGATGAAGAAATGAAAAAAAAAAAAAAACAAAACCAAACACAAACAAAAAGCCCCCATGTATAAAAAGGTGATGTAAGTACTTATATTTATAACCTCCCTTGATTTGCAAATAAATCCTGGCAATTAGACAGGCTGCACATGACATTACTGCTCTGCATTTTACTCCTAGCTAGATAAACAGTGGTAGCAGTGTGCAACAATACAGGACAGAGATAAAGTGCAGTCAACTGTGCATTAATAGGAGGGAAATTGCATTGAATATATGAGCAGTGAACAAACATTATTTTTCCCACAGAGCATTTTTCATGCAGGTCTTTAAACCCACACACCAGGCTGGGCCTCCCAGTGTGGCTGCAAGGCAGGTGCTGCTCTCTAAAGTGTTATTGCTACAAAGGCCATTCTTTGATGAAAACGAATGGCTCGTCACATGAGTCTGGGCCAGGTTGAGCAATGCCAGAGCTGCCCAGACTATCGTGCTGTCTACAGGCTGCAAGGGGGGCATGTAGCACGGCAGCAACAGAAGGAAAAAGGCTCTTACATCCCCTTTGGGCTGCTGAGCTTCCCCTTGTGCCTTGGTGAGTGTCACCCAACAGTCTGGTGACTCTGAAGTTGCCTGTTGTGGCAAAGTACCTAGTAAAATCTTAAAGAACACTGTGGAAAAGGCTAACAACTGAGGAAAACCTGTGCCCTTGTGATTTCTTAGCCTGAGCTGCAAAGCCTTTTGATGACACCAAGGGAGCACAACAGTCCTGTGACCAACCTGAATTCTCTGATGAGATCATGGAATCATAGAGATGTTTGCCCAGCAAGATTTGGTTATTTGTGACAGCGATGCCCAAGTGTCCCTGGCATTCCATACACAAAGTTCTGCCTCAAGTGCAGTGTTGTCTTCATCCCAATCTCTCTGGTCCCAAGTTGGACCTGGAGGGATCTCCATAAGCTCTCCTTCCAGGCAGCTGCAGGTACTAAGCGCATCTCACCCACATCCATCCCCAGTACCCCATCAGGCTGGGCTGGATGCTTAACGACAGGGGCTGAACCCAAGCAAAGCCCGTGGCAGCACCATGGCACGTTGCCTTTCCTCAGCTACCTGCCTCTCACCATGGCCTTTGGGCAAAAACACTGAGCTAACAAGACCCACAGAGCAACGCATATAAATCAGACTATAGGAGCAGACATTTGCAGCTAAAGGAATTAAGGAAACTCTCTAGCTAGCAGGCAAATAGGGCAAGTATTTTACGTTTATTTTCCAGTCTAGTGCGTGATACAAGTAGTGACATGGGGCATGGGCTGGAGGCTGCTCACATTGTGGTTTTGAGAAAGAGCTGTCAAAGCCTCTGTACCAACTGTTGTCTGTGCCAACAAGGCATGCCACAAAATCTGCAGCAGCACAGGATAAGCATATTTTCAGTATTTGGCTACCCCTACAGCACCAGTGTACACAGTGTTTATGTGCCATCACACAGAGGATAGGGCCTGGATCCTCTCCTCCACCAGAGGCTCGGGCGTGTGTGGAGCTCTGGCCATGTCTCAGAACACGCAGGGGTGTGCATGGGCACACAGGATGCATGTGCACAGTCACACGGGGGTGTATGTGCACAGCCGCACACCCCAGAGGGGTAAGGACAGCATGACACGTTGTGCAACATGGGCTCTTGGGCTGCAGCTTGTCATCCCTTGTACCGAGGACGCTTGAGCGTGACTCAGGCGCAGAGATGTTAGTCATGGACCCCGAGGGGAGGGGTGCTGTTTGCAAATGGACTGTTGGGAGTGCCCTGAACTGGTCAGCTTTAAAGTCTGGGTCTGTCTGGGGACCCTGTGCTTTGTATGTGTGAAGACACAGTGCCCCTGTCACCCGCATCAAAGTAAACTAGCAGCAGTGTGACAGTTGGTGTGCCCAGACGCTTGGGAGGTCTGCTGGTGCACACAGCACAAGGCAGCTTTGGAAGGATGAGCAATTTGGCAAGAACAAGAGTCCCCTCCCTGCTTTGCCTTGCTGCTCCCACCCACCCACGCCCACACACCAAGCCAAATACAGCCCTTTATGTCTGGAAACCAAGCTAATGCTTTGGAGCTTCAATCAGATCATCGGCTCCTATGTCCCAGATTCTAATCAACACATCCATATTCATGCTTTAATTGGAAAGAGCGGATAGGTTGAT